CGTCGGGCTGATTCGTGTAAACAAAAATTGGAGATTTTGATTGGTCGTGCATAACGGGAGATCTCGTGATGGACCTGTCTTTAAGCGACCCCCATAAAAAGGGCGATCTACATTGCCCATTTTTGGTAATGTGCCCGACTGTATTACTTCCCATTCTGCTCATTTATAATTTACCTATTTAGAAATTTGTCGCGTGATACTTGCACTCAAAATTTTATTATTGTGCTAATTTTTTATTGTTGTGCTAAAGCCAAATTCGGTAATAAATAAAATAATAATCTTACTTATTATGTAATTTTGTTCAACCGAAACCAAAAAACAGGTAAATATTTCCTCGAATAGCAAAGACGCAAAATTTGTGAAACCCAAAACAAGAAACAAATAAATTCATTATCCTAACGTAGTATTGACAAATACGTAAATTCATTTTATCTTGTATGTATTATAATTCCTGCTACTGTATCTTTTTTTTTTTTATAATCAAATCATGAATGAAATTTGTGAATTTCTTAAGCCCAATCCACCGTATAATGAACCCGAAAAATTTAAAGATTTCATAAAGGATAAGACCATTATTTCTGGTGAATATCCAAAACCTATTTCAATACCTATTCCGCGGGGAAAATTCGTAATCAAATTGCCCGATTTCGAAATGAGTTCTGAATTGAAACAATTATTTGAAAAGCCTAAAAGTGAAGTTATAGGCATACTTAGTAATGTTCAATTGAATCCCAATGAATATATAAAGTTTTTCACGAATTTGCTCTATGCAGAGGAATATGAAATCACTGCTGGGTTTAAAATTTACGACCGGCGGGGAACGACATTGACGCGATGTGGGGAATATTTGACACTGGATGTACCTGGTCTTGCGGAGGAACGTCCATCGGTGGTTCCCGGGAATTACATACTTGTAGTAAAATGCGGAGTAGAAGATGGGAAGGCATACAAAGGATATGTCTATCGGACTCGAGTAGATAAAATTGACATAAAATTTGGAAGATCATTTTTAGAAAGAGTCTATTC